GAGAGATTTCCCAGTGGAAATCACCAGACTGACCCCCACGGAGAGGTGCTGAGGCTCTAAAGCTGTTTGTCACAAGGCCATTGGACTCATGAGCAGTGAGGTCCAGCAAGCAGAGGCAAGGTGCTTCGGTGGCACCGGCTTTCCCTGTAGAGCAAGTCGGTAACACACAAATCTTGATTAAGCGGTTTGTTCATGGTTGGATATTGCAGTCCCAGTGCAGTTTGATTTAAGTATGGTCATTGACTTGGGCTCCATTAAGTACATTATGGAAAGTGCTACAGAAGAAGGAAGTCAGAAGAGCAGCATTGGAGAGTAAGGGAGAGGAAAAACAACTGAATAGGAGGAAGATCTGAAGACAGAGGTAGCGAGTTCCTTAAAATAGCAGTGCTTGCCTTTGATGTGAAATACAAAATCTTGGGAACAAAACGAGATACAGACTAAACAGATGGTGTGAGGAGGGATTCAAAAGTGAGATGACGCACCAGAGCTAGATATGAAGAAGTAAATGATGCAGAAGTGGACTTAGCATAAGAGAGAGAAGATAATCATCATGTTTTTTTCAGAAAAGCCCTTTGCAGTGTTTGTAAGTTATAGCATCAGCAAAATACAATATGACAGCACTTGACTTATTTTCCTCTCTACAAGAAGAGACTTGTTTTGAAGTTAAAGCAGACAAAATGTGTTTCTGTGTGAAGAGTTTGTAGATCTTGGCATGCTAAAATATTACTTTAAAAATCTTTCATGCCCAACAGTTGTATTCATTTGCTTATCTCTATAGCACTTCAAAAAAATGTCATACCACAGCTCAAAATGGGAATACTTCTAAAGATTCATTCTTATCTTTTCATTGATCACTATAATATAGAGATTTCATTCTTCAGGTGGGAGCTTGGCTTTTTTTCCCTCTAGATTAAAGATCTAAATCCAAACAGCTCCAGGCCTACCAACTACATGCTTTGCGGAGTTATGAATTTTTTAGATTGGCCTTTCTTGTGAACCAGTTCCCACAGAGGTGTTGAGTCACAGGTCCAGCATTTGGAGTCTGGAGTCGGAGATGAACTTTCCAGCTTGGATCCATCTCAAATTCTTTTTTTTCTCTAGCAATATTTACTGCTCAGCAGAAAAGTGCCACATTGTCATGTACATTTTTTTTCGTTTTGCCAGATTTACATTGTCTGTGTTGTACCAGTTTCTTTCAGCTATGACAAAGTCAATTTTTTTTTTTTTTTTTACAAAATTCAACTGGTAATTATTTAGTCTCTGAAAAAAAGACAAGCACAGGCATCTGAGCAAGGAGAAGCAAAATACTTAGAACAATATTGCAGGCTGTATGTAAGGGAAGTGATCTCCCCTGGTGTGTGCAGTAGCAGGAGGCAACGCTGCTGTGCCAACCTCCCACCCAGATTGCCTCCCACCTGCACTGCGATCACAGGGTCTGAAATGTAATCCTTTGTTTACTTCTGCCCCCTGAGGGATGAAACCCTGAGATAAAGCTGCTTCGCATAAATCATCTCAGAATTTCTGTCTCTGGTTTCCACCCAGGTGATGTATATTATAATTTGTGAATGATCTCTACTGCCTGACCTGCAATTAAACAATTGCTTGGTCCTCTTAAGCACCACTCAGTTCCCTCTCCCACCAGCTGCTAATGAGATATCACTCTGCTTTGAGTGCTGCTCCCCGCAAAGGTACAGGGAAATGCAGAAAGCCTGCTGTTCCGCAGGGACAGACCTGACCCTCAAGTGCTCACTCAGCCAAACCGCCCAGCGTATTGACGGGATCCAGCCCGCATGCGGAGTCGGAGGGTTCGACTCGCCATGATCGTGTTGCTGCCTGTGCTTCCACCCACACAATCCGACTGTTTTCAATCCCAGCGTTTTATCCTGGTTTGTAAATAATAGTTGCTCGGGAAGAAGTGTGTTTGCCTCCTACCTGATGTTGGCCCTGGGAGTCCTTCACTTCTACAATAGCTAATTTGTTCCTAAATGCAAAGGGGGGGCAGGGAATCATAAGGGAAGGAGGGGTTAGTAACAATTCCTCTCTCTACCCAGAGTGCCAAAGGCTAAGGCTGTGCATTGTTTTTCTTCCAACAGTTTGGAAATATTTCCTATAAGCTGTAAATCGGGCTTAATTAAAGCTCTTCTTGTGACTTTTTTCCCCTTTTTTTTCCTCCCCCTGTGCAAGGTGGGGTGAGCAAACCTAGATACAATATGGAATATATGGAGTCCTTGACACACAGCCAGCCCTGCCAGGGCCCTTCCAGTGGGCCAGGTTTTCCAGGCTGGCTGGAAGGTGGGTAACCAGCAGGGAGTAATTGCCTTTGGATGAAAATCACAGTAATTGCAGCTGTTAAAAGACACCGTTGTTTCCTTCTGTAGTGTTTCTGGGACGACATGAAGAACTCGAGGGGGGAGGCTTACTAATGAGGCGAAGCAATCAGTATTTTTGTAGGCTTGTTTGTTATACTGCCTGTGTCTGCGTAATGTAAATGCAAATAAACCCATCTTTATTTTATTCATAGTTCTAATGGAAAGTCTGTGTCATGGTCTGAACCAGGTGGAAGACAAGCTCCCAAGGGGGAACACATGTGGCACAGACTCTCAGTGCATGTGAAGAGCCAGGAGACAGGGTGCAATCAGACAGCGGTGATCAAACCCCTCACTAAAAGCTACCATGGCCAAAGCAAGAGCCTGACTTTTACCGACATCAGCAGTAAGACTCTGTACAATGTGGTGGAGGAAGAAGATAGAGACCCCGTTCGCCTCAACCAGCCCAGCAGCCCCTCCATGGTGGTGCACAGGCGGGTGGCGACGACCCCCCCGCTGCAGGCCACGGCGGAGGAGACCCACCTCTTCTTGCCCGAGCAGACCCCCAAGACCCTGCCCCTGCAGCCGCGGTCTCTCATGGACCAGCTGCAAGGAGTGGTCAACAAGTTTGCCACTGGCATCCCCGACTTCAATGCCGTCCTCCCCACGCCTGGCTTGGGGAATGGCGTGCGGCCCCCCTACCAGCCCTCCCCACCACAGCAGCCGCCCCTGCCGCCTCTCCAGGTGGCCGCCTTCAGTGAGGAGCCCCTGTCTCCCCCGGCCGAGGAAGCAGAGAGCGAGAAGCTGAAGCTCATTCAGGGATATGTCTACGAGAAGAACCCAGAAGAGGAGGACGAGGAGCCGGCGACCAGCAAATTGACTCTGGAAGACTCTCCAGCCCTGACGCCCCCATCCCCTTTCCGGGATTCGGTGGCTTCAGGCAGCTCCGTGCCCAGCTCCCCCGTCTCAGAGTCAGTGCTCTGCACCCCCCCAGATGTGACCTATGCCTCTGTCATCCTGCGGGATTATAAGCAAAGCTCTTCCACCCTGTAGATGCTCCAAGAGACGAGAAGGACTTTGGCAGCTGCCTGCTGGGAGGTCCTGGGGAGACAAGTCTCCTGGGGCTGGAGGGAGAGAGAGCAGAGAACAAAGTCACGTATGACAGGGCAAAAACTTCATCCTGCACTTAAATAAATAAAAGGAAATAAAAAGGAAAAAAAAAATCCATTCTGAGGGCTCAAAATTCTCTAGCTGTTAAAAATAAAAATACTGTACTTTGAGAAAATGATAGGAAACCATAATAAAGCACAAACCCAAGAGACAACTTCTATAGCAAAAAAAAAAAAAAAGAATAAACACACAGGAAAAAAAAAATCACACTCAGTTACACCGTCTTTTGGCAATGCTTGAAAAGGACTCTGGGAAGTGTGACCTGGAGAAGTCATTAGCACATCTCATGACTGCTGTCTGTCTGCTATGGAAGCAACACACCCAGGAGCTGGCAGGGCGGAGTGTGGTGAGGAGGAACGAAGCTACTTGTATATGAGACATAATATGCATAAATATTTTTTTTCCTGGTCTCTACGGGTGGTATAACTGTGCAATGTGTTCGGGGGAGAGGAGCTGTGATAATGTGAAAGCACACGGCTCTTTCCGACTTTTGTCTGAACAATTTGGTTCTTCATACTAGGCTGCTTTTTGGGGGATCTGGGCTTATTTTAACACTGATTGTGAACAGAGCAAGAAATATGATCAAGTTAAGACTTGAGAGGTTTCTGAAGAAAGCCCTTGCTGTAGTACTTGTAATATGATAAGGACTTAGAAAAACTGCCCTTTTTGTATAAGATTGCAAACCATGTGGCTAAACTGTTACACAACATTTCCTGTAGCAGAACAATATTTATTGACTAACTTTTCCTAATACAACATATTTGCCATCTAATTACATCATTCCTTTGTGTTACTTTGGAATCAAATACATTGGAAAATAGCTGTATACTTAGAGCAACAACTATTACTCTGAAAGAAAGGCAGTTTCATACTGGGGGTTGTAGAGTCAGTCTCGAGGCAAGAAAGTGAGCGTACGTTTGTGTTTCTGTATGCGTGTATGCGGTATGTGTGAAGCGTAATGTCCACTAACTACCACTGGAAGATTGTCCTATATACTATGAATATTTTTATGTTTAAATCATGTTTTATATCGCATTGTTACAAATATTCAATAGATCTTTGTATGCTGTGCTAACACATTTTTTTTTCCTATACAAGCTGAGACAGTTGTTACCCTTATAATAGGGTGCTTTATTTTGCAGATATTTTATGAAGTAGACATATGGTATTAATAACCGGTGTATTGAAAACTTGTTATTTTACATGTTTGCAGCCAGTGTGGTTAACAAAAAAAAAAAAAGAAAATGCAAAAAGAAAAAAGTCTGTTTTAGAAACCTTGCACATGCCAGTATAAAGGTGAGACAGGAAATGTAATTAAACTATTTTGTTGCTTAAGATAATTTAAAATAAAATCATGTCTGGACAGGAAATTTCATCAGTGCTTAATGTATGCATAAATTCCCAGGGTTTGTTAAAAAAAGTTCTTTTAATCTCTTTATGATGTTTAGTTGTGTGTTCTTTTCATACACTTTCACTTCTATTTAGTATACAATATTGTATCTTAAAGATCACTTCTGGGCAGCTGTAGTTCTGTCATTCATTCCTCTTCTGCTATCCTTCATGTATTTCCTAGAGATGGGCCTAATCCAAAGCTCCCTAATGGCTGGCATGTTCAAAGTCCAGGTCTAATTGCTGTGGCCTGAACTTAATTATACTTATTATTACCCTACTTATAAATGTGCGTATTACACATATACAGGACAGGATTTTAGCTGCTATGAGCTTTTATTGTGCTGTTGAATTTAGTTGAGGATCTGTCCCACAGTTCTACACTTTATTTCCAAAGATATTTTTAAGGAATCTCTTCATGTTAATATAATTGCAAAAACCTGATTTTAACCATACTGCTTGTGCATATTCTATCAGGGTTTTTCTGAATTCAGCATATTTCCACTCTTTTTCTTTCTTATCACTTGAATTTTAAGAAATCCTGTGGCCAGTCGTGAATTCTTCTCTGAAGATCCAAATCTTATTGTTTTGTTCTAATTATATAGTAGTGGTATCAGAAGGTTTGGCTGGTGCTCAAAAGCCGATAGAGTCTTTTTTCCTCACCCTTTTTTCACAACGTTTGCTCCTTTCAGTATGACTAGTGGCCAATTGCTATCATTGTCCTGATGTGGAAAGCATGAAATGAGTTTGCCCAAAGACATGGTTATGTCTTCTTCAGTAGATTGATGTCTCTATAACGAACTAAAGACACCTGAGGGTCAGTTGGTTGATTTTTGTCTGCTTGGGGCTTTTAGGGGGATTTTTTCTTTTTTTTTTTTTTGGTTGTTTCTTTTTTATAATGCTGATTACTCATTAAAGCAATGAGAAAAATGCCATATTTTCTTTGCTGATCATCGCTCTGGCAATGAATTCTATCTTCTTATAATCTTAGTGTGAGATTTATTGTGCTGTTTCCAAAAACATACATTGCCGGTAGCATAGAGCTAGTACTAGGAAGCAGGTCTTTGAAGAAATAAGATTGATAAGAAAAAGAAACCTAACAGGCTCGTATAAATGGGAGACAGCAATGTTGCAAGGTACTATTGTTTTCATATCTGTCTGTTTTGAAGATATTAAGCACTGATTTTATTACTGCAATGTAATTATATCATGAGTAGGAGTTTTCTTGAAATTCAGTATATTAGCTTTTAGTTTGTAATTGTTAAAACTGGAAACATACACATACATAAATATATCTAAAGAGCAAGAACTCACTTTGTGTATGTAGTTGTATGAGCTATGAAGCTTCCTGTAAAAGTTCTTTCTTTTTGGTCTGTCAAATGCTTGATGAAAACTGCCTTTTGTCAAAATGATCTTGAAAATGCTGTAAAATAAATATTTTCTATTTATTATTTAAAAATAGAATGCCAAGATTGTTAATTTTTGCTTCCTAATTAGAAAATAGCCCTGTCTAATAACTAATTTTTCTAGGGCTTTTCAGCAGCATGTGAGAGAGATGGTGGGATGCTCAAATGAAGGTAGGTATTGATTAGATCATGGCATCTGGTGGAGGTATAGAAGATTTTTGTTTAGCAAACAAAAAACAGCTTTTTGGCTTCCTAATAAAAACTAGGAGCACCGTAGATATGCATTTGGGCTGACATGTTGTAAAAGATAATTCAATGAGAAATGACAGGAAACTTTGCTCCCCAGGGACATGGGGAAACACCAGCCCTTTGCTGAAAGTACTCCGTGTGTTTGACTCTGTGAGATGTCAGCTTCTCCCATCAGGGAAACTCAAATATGTTTTCTGGATAGCTATAAGCATTGATCCATTCCAGACATGTTGTGCCTCCTTCCTTCACTGCCTCTGTATAGAGCAAAGTACTGAGACTTTTGACTCCTGCTCTGCAACTCACACACACTGTGGCTTTTTGGTGACTCCTGAACTGCTGCGTGCCTCAGCGTGGGGCTCAGTAAGATGGGAGTATAAATGTTTTTTTTCTGGAGTGCTGCTGAGATTTTCAAACTCAAGTGGCACGAAACATAGAAAGTCTAGCCCTTTTTCTCTTTACACTTGCAAATAGGCTTGTTTCTAGTGGCTCCTTGGTTTGGATCTGGCCTTGCAAGAGCCCACATCTGAGGAGTCAGTCCACCTACAACTGGTGGAATGGTGCACTGCTGGAGTACAGGGAATGACATTACATTCAGAGGTAAGTGTCAAAAGTTTAGTCTCTTTACTTGTAGAGGATTGGGGTTTGGTTTTTCTTTCCCTTTTTTTATTTCCCAGTTAAAGTCTAGGCAATCTATGTCTTAGTAAAGGTTTTGCTGATCAAGTGGACACAGTTATAAAAACACCCTCAGGGTAAAACAGCAGTTACTCCCCTCCAGAGCACCCAGTGCAGCATTGCAGCAGCACCATTCTTGTAACCAGTTACTGTTCGTGGGACTCAGTCCACAGCATCTTATCCTGAGCCTGCTGCACGTCCTGGCAGTCACATGTGGCATTTGGGGATACACTGTGCAATGAACATGGGAATAAGTACGATGGTAGCCTCTGAGAATCATCTAAGAAATATTATAACAATTGTTATCTGGTCTCTAACTAGCTACACATATGCCGTGCAAATGAATTCATTTTCAAATTGCAGTATTTGCATAGGAGGTTAGCGCTAATTGTTTTATGCATGACTTTCCAAACAGCCTGACTAGCATAACGAGCCCAGCAAGTCTTACTTTCTTTTTGATGCAGTTTCAGTTTTTATATTGCTGTGCTTTGAGCTTCCAGCATGGATGAGGATCATTTCAGTTTAAGTCATTCTAGACCACATAAATGTTTCAGTTCATATTCTTTTCCTTCCTTTTTTTTTTTTTTCCCCTGATTTCTCCACATAAACGTACAACAATATGAACATTAGCAGAAAGAGCAGAGTGGGCAAAATCTATATAAACAGACTCCAGTAGATATGAGCAAACAACAGTTGGTGGAAGTGCTAAAGGAAAATATGTAGAAGGCCAGATGCTCCAGCCTGTTAAAGCTGCTTTATTAGTCTCTAGATTTCCAGAGTAGTTCTTCATGTGCTTTAGTCTGACAAAGGAAAAGACTGCTCTGGTGCTGTAGAGTTTTTTTAGAGTCCTTTGGCACCAGCCTCAAGGGCAGGTAACATGACAGGTGGAAGGGGAATGGAGTTATATGCCTGCGTTTCTCTTAATCTGCCCTAAGAAAAGGCATAACAAAATCCAAGTCTGGGGAGACAGAAGTATGAAAGCTTTAAATTAGAAATAAGCAAATCTGAATTGTCAAGATAATTGAGTGCTGCAGCAGATGGTTGGGAGATTTAAGCAAATTTTCTTTAAGTCTTCAAACCAGTGAAGCATTCGCAGGGTAGAATTGTTAGGCTTCTGCTATGCGGGGGGTCAGATTAAATGACCATAATATTCACAAGCTGCCAAAAAGGCCCATCTAAAATAAAAGGCCCATCTAAAATAGCTTTACACTGAGTAAATGGATGACTTGTCCAGGACCACAGAGCAGCAAAGCAACTTAGAATACTTGAGGTTTAGTCTCCAGTCTCCTGCCAAGGACAGACTGTTGGTGACTCCACCAGCCTGGTCCATGCCTATCTGCCCAAGCTCTGCCCAGTAAGCTGGGTCTCTGAACCCAGGCTAATGTGTCACATCCACTTTGCATGGAGTAAGTGGCTACCAGAAGCAAAAGGCAATGGAAATAGGGCCCCTGGATT